CAAGCTTGGTCAATAAAGGATTTATTATATGGCTTTCGGGGAAATTTTTCTTGCGGGACACGGTGGGTAGTCCCGAGCGGGCAAGATAGCTCCATGTTGCCCGCTCGGGTAGCCAATCACAGCGCAGGATTTGATTCATCTTGCCCGCTCGCGGAGCTTGCCATATAATAAAGGTTAATAAACCATTTTGAGCCGAAGCGAACAGGATTTGCTAAACTTACTTGTGACATATTGTGATTACAAAGTATTTCCTCGTTTTGTTAGTTCAATTTGTTCAGTTTGGCGAAATGCTTGGGTGAATTTCCAGGTTGATTTGGTTGAAAGCTGGTAAAGCTACCGCCGGTAAAATGACTGCAAAGCTAAATTAAGCCGACGGAAAAAATACACACTGTGATATTCAAATCTATGCTCAAGCGTAAATAATTGTTAAACGTTAACACTGCAAGCTTAAACAAATTTTCTTCATGCTTTCTTTTATTCGGTCATCCTTAATTGAGAAGGGATTTGCTGTTTGATATCCAAATGTAGTGATATGCATATTGTGTTTATAATGTAGATTTCCTCGTTTTATTTTGTTGTTGTTCAATTAGGTCGGTTTGCTGAAATGTCTATAGTCGAGTAGGCGGTTACGCATGTAGACCCTGTCGACAAATAAAGTTCTACTTTGATTTCGATTTGCTATTTCATTTTATTAGTGCCACTGCTTTTGGTTGGCGGTTACATGGCCCCTATTTTCCTAATGAGAGGTTATTCCCCAGTGCAGTATTTACATTTAAGGAAATGTTCCATAAAAGTGAGATAGTACTAATTAGAAAAAAATACTTGGGAAGCGCTTTACTCGGTTATGAACAGCGTAGATGACATTTACATACCTAGAAAAAGTTTAGGACGTAGAACTCCTTGCCCTGACCATTTCTCGGGAATAAAAATCACTTTGATATCCATACAAAATTTAGTTGGCGAGAGCGCTCGCCTCTCTCTGCTCTATTCTTCACACTAATTTTTTTATTGACTAACTTATTAACTGAATGTCACTGACTGTTTTCTTTGATGTACTGTACTCTTTTGCTCATCGAAGAAAGTTCCAGTTTCTTCCTAGCTGTTTCCTTCGTCCTGTCTGGTACCAATTTGTTTGTGATATAACTTTGTGAATTTTCTATTCTCATACGATTTTATCTCATCAGGGTAATAGAATGCACTTGAAGAGTGTTCAATCATCGTTTTCAGTCGCTACAATTTTCCGCAAAAAAGCAGTAATTTTCTTAATTTTCTTTTGCTTTGTTTTAGGACCTTTTAGCAGGCCCGTAATCGGGCTGTGGGCATTACAGACTGAAGAATAGTTTTCAAGTAAAGAATTAGATTCATTTTAGTGTTAAGTATTTTTAAATTATTATGAATGAGGCATTTCATTTCATTTTTTTTATTTTTGTCACACATGATGTTTTACGATTTTACCGAGGAATATCATGTAAATGTAAATAATGCACTAGAATTAGCCAAACAGAGCGTGCATCATATCGGCTTAAAACACAAGCCATATATAATAAATGTAGGTAAAAGATATTTTTATGACAGAGAACTGGACAGGGCAAGAACTTCTTCTTTTGTAAATATATTAGTTCCTCTCAGCCCTGTCAAAATGTCTCAGGAACCTTCATTTTTGCAACCTAGAGTCCATTATTTTCCACCATACCTAACACAGAAGCTCACCAAATCCTTACTAATAACTAACATGGGTGTATCTCTGGCCTTTACTTTGTACCACATGTATATTCTGTTATCCTGCCTTAACTGCTAGAAACAATTTTGACAGAGCTGTTTCAACAGTTTCACTTAAATTGATTTCCAGTTAAACAGCGCTGCATGTAGCAGTGTAATAATGAGTATGAACTTTATGGAGGGTTTTAAGTGCTTWTTTTTTTWTCACGATTACAGAAGACAACAAAATATACATGTGTATACATTATAACCTGATGTTGGTGTTGGTTGTGAATCGTAGTTCATATTAGTCATCCTATTACAGGTAAGGGGAAAAGTTCAGAAAGTTCAGAACATCTCTTCCTCAGCATTTGAGTGCCTCCTTTGCTAAAATTAGTCACGCTTTAATTGTTATCAGTCCCTATGAATTCATAGAGAATTACCACCTAATGTGGAAGTCCTTTCTTCAAGTGAAGGAAAATGACACTGCAAAAAGTTACAAAAAAAAAAGTTACAATGAAAGTAAAAAGAATTGTGAATGTTGATCAGGACTTGGTGTACATTGTACATCATGTAAAGGTATTTGGTTAGTGCCAAAGGCATAACATTTCATGTATTTGCTTTTTCAGGACAAATGATACAACAGGGATGTTTTAAAAGATGTGATCAGAAAAATAATGAGTATCGTCCAGGCAGCACCAGTTAATGGATGGCGTATACAGACAGTAAGAGGTACTGTAAGCATCACCAGGTAATTAAGTTAGTTTTATACTTATGACTTCTTGTACTTGGATTTTGTGTCATTTCATCATAAGAATAGGTAATGAAAGATGCATTAGTTGATGCAATTTATTTTCGAAGACAAACTTAAAAGTCTGTTTATGGTGGATACCTGCGATGTATTAATTGAATGTAAAGCAAACACACTGTTATAGATATACGTGCATCAGTTAATATTGAATAATCTGAAATTTCAGCGAGTTTGAAAATATCTGTGACAGTTGTGAGGTGAGGGCTGTTACATGTACACGTAAATGGCTCAT